ATCGCCTGGAAAAATCTCTGCAATAGATATGAAAATAAGTATCAGTTGGTTAAAGCACAACTCAAAGTTTGGTTTAGTCTGCCGTCCGTCAAAGAAGAAGATTGCAATTCTCTGAAACAATTGCAGAGAAAAATAAACAATTGCGTATCATTTTTAAAGAATCATAAAATTGATTGGCTGTGAATAGTTACTTACTTCTGTACAACTAAACTACCAGATGCCAGTTTAGCGCTATGGGAGCAGCTGAGAAGGGACAGAACCGAGATTCCAGCCTGGGAAGAGCTTGATGACTTGCTTACAAACCGTTTTCAAGCCCTCGAAGCAGTGACAGGAAAACATGAGTCAAGGAACGCACAGTCGTTTAAGCCGCATGCCAATAAATATTGGCACAATCAGGAAACACCCCGTAAAAGGCTTGGCTCATATCAAATGAGTGTAGGCAAACCATTCTCTCCTATGTGTAACACTAGCGAGCATAAAATTCGTTATTGCTCGAACTTTGGAAAATTAACTCCAAACGAACGATTGGAAATAGTGAAACGCCATCTACTATGTCTAAATTGTCTTTCCGACAAACACATCATTACCAAATGTCCTAGCCTTTACAAATGCGCTATTTGCAATTTACGGCATCATACACTCCTGCATATCAAGTCTATGCAAAAACAATCATTTGATAGGAGACCACCAACTATTACTGACGATATGCCATCCACATCCGCACAAGCGCGTCAGAACCTAAACCCTAGAAAATCAAATAATGTGCAATCCTGCCATGCACAGTCAAACTCGGGAATTTCGTTGGGAACATCTCGAGCTCTCTTAAATGTAGAAGACTCATTTATCACAGAATCTCTTAAACGGAAACTTAATTTAAAATGAAAAAATATATGTGCTCAAGTTTCGGGCATAAATAATTCTAATTCAGCACACGTAAAAGAAGCTTGTTGCGTTCAACTTCGCTCGCCAATCAATCCTCTCTTTGTTATTGATGCATATTTTTTAATTTTACCATGACTAATTGGAAATCTGCCTTCTTGCAAAATCAGCGCAACGACAGTGCAAGGATTTCCAGACTTAGTTCTGGCAGATAAACGTTTCTTTGCCAACGAACAAGTCGATCTTGTTCTGGGTGGAGACCTTTATCCCCACATTCTGCTAAGTGGCATTAGAAAAAACGTACTTAGCACTCTCCTAGCACAAGAGACGGTATTTGGATGGATACTGACGGGCAGTACCAGCACTGCTACGCCTACCACCAATAAAGTCTCATTTTATAGTGAAGTTACCTTAGATAAACAACTCAGAGCTTTTTGGGAGCTAGAAGACATCCCCAAAAGAAAAACGCCAAATGAAGAGGAAAAAATATGCGAAGACATATATCAACGTACTACAACGCGAAACAATGAGGGCAAATACATAGTTTCCCTCCCATTCAAAATGGAATATCCTGGTCAACTACAAATGGGACCATCCTTGAAGATTGCCTGCTCTCAGTTCTTCCGGAATCCAATTCTACAAAAGGAATACCACAGAGTTTTATCCGAGTACGAAACTCTGGGACATATGTCAAGGATCACGACCAACGTTTCTGCTGATTCCTCTGATAATTATTTCCTTCCTCATCATGCCGTGATAAAGGAAGATAGTACATCAACAAAGGTCCGAGTAGTCTTCAACGCGTCAAGTCGGACAACGAATGGTACTAGTTTGAATGACGTGTTTCATTCAGGGCCAGTATTACAGTCGGATTTGACCGTAAAAGATGTACCGTCCAATTTTAGTAAATTCCAACCACACTAAATACCAACGCATAGTTCACCGAACTGATCCCAACTACCCGATCAGTCTTTACGAATTAAAGACGGCAACGTTCCAGGTAAATTGTGCTCCATATCTAGCAGTAAGGACATAATTGCAGCTTGCTGATGACGTCGAGTCAACTCATCCTCTAGCAGCAAGCATACTCCGGAAATGTATGTACGTTGACGATGTTTTGGCAGGAGGACATAGGATTGAAGAAACCATAAAGGTCAAACTCGAAATCTCTAAGGTACTCCAATCCGCTGGCTTTCTATTACGAAAATGGACTGCTAATTGTGGTCAAATAATAAGAGATATACCCAAGGATCATCTCCTAAATAAAGATTTCTTGGAATTTGAGGACACGAGCACGGTGAAGGCGTTAGGTATTCGGTGGAATACTCGTTCTGATTATTTTTACTTTTTGATAAAACTCATTAAAGGTGATGACATAATAACGAAAAGAGCGATACTTTCAGAAATCGCAAAGCTTTTTGACCCACTTGGTTGGCTAGCGCCAATCATGATTGTAGCCAAAGTTATTATGCAAGGCATTTGGTTAGAAGGCACCAACTGGGATGAAGATCGTTGGCGCGCATTTCGTGAAGACTATCACGAAATCGCCAAATTCGAGTCCCAAGATGGGTCTCCTACACTCCGAAAGACCTCATCGAAATACACGGATTTTGTGATGCCTCTGAAAAGGCTTACGCAGCAACAATCTATATGCGCGTACAGAGGAAAGATACCGTTACCGTGAACCTACTTCTCGCAAAACCTCGAGTAGCACCGGTTAAAACTATTGTTGTACCACGTCTTGAGCTTTGCGGGGCAGTCTTGCTAGCTGAGCTAATAGAAACACTAATGGACAACCTGAGCTTAGCTGGTACAAAACTACATTTATGGACGGATTCAACCATTGTGCTGGCATGGATACGTGAGCCTCCGTGTTCATGGTCAACTTTCGTCGCACATAGAATCACAAAAATTGTTGAAAAGGTTAGCAATACGAACTGGCAACATGTAGACTCGGCATGTAACCCAGCGGATCCCTCAAAATGACCTAAACAGGAGATATTATGCAACACTACAGAAGAAGAAAAAAGGGTGCATGTGCATGCAATCACAACAGTAAACAAACTCGATATTCTCGACCGTTTTTCAATTTTACCGCGGGCTTTGAGAGTTTTATCATATATTATGAGATTTTTTCAAAGAACCCACCCAAAAACAAAAGCTTTTTTCCGAGCCAAGTCTTGTCTAATTTCAGGTGATGAAACAAAAGCAACGACATTGTGCTTAATAAAACTAAGTCAAAAGCAGTATTATAATGCGGAACATAATAGAATAACGTCAAAAAATCGACTAGATTCAAAGAGTGAGTTACTTCCTTTACACCCCTTCTTAGATAATTACGGGGTTATGAGAGCCGGTGGTCGCCTGGGGGCATCTCGTGACCTCGCTTATAGCGAGCGTCATCCAATAATACTATTATACAATTGCAGATTGTCACGTCTGATTGTCCTGCTCATCCATGAAATCTCCTTACATGGAGAAAATCAGTTGATGTTACGCCTCATCCGAACGCAGTTCTGGACTCCACGAGTGAAGAACATGATCCGGTCTATTTTGCAGGTCCGTTCGAAATCAAAAGTTATAGCGGCAGAGGTTGTCGAATGTCCAAGGGCTATGTCTGTCTATTTGTTTGCTTCTCAACCAAAGCAATCTACCTGGAAGCAACTAGTGACTTAAGCACTCAATCCTTTCTGGCAGCTTTTGCCAGGTTTGTCTCCAGAATAGGCTGTCCGAAAAACGTCCATTCCGATAACGGCACGAACTTTGTAGGGGCCTCACGATCCTTAAGATCAGAATTCAAAACCTTTATGGCAGATGCGCGTAACAGCATCGTATCAAAATACGCGATTCAAGCCTTAACTTGGCAATTTATTCCAGCTTCAACTCCTCATATGGGAGGACTGTGGCAAGCTGGAATAAAAAGTTTCAAAAGTCATTTTAAAAAAATTACATCGAATTGTAAATATACGTTTGAAGAACTAAGTACATTGTTGTGCGGAGTTGAGGCTTGTCTCAACTCGCGACCTCTTTGTCCTTCTTCAAATAACGCAAATGCCTTGAAACCATTGACTCCAGGTCATTTTCTGATAGGCGGGCATTTGTTAGCTCCACCAGAGCCTGATGTTAACGAAAATACCGCATCTGTTGTTAATAGATGGCAAAAGCTAAAGGCGTTACACCACTCGTTTTGCAGACGATGGAAAAATGAATATTTAATGGATATGCAAAAACGCATCAAATGAAAATACCCTCAACAAAACATTAAAGAAGGAGACTTAGTGGATATCAAAGAATATAACCTACCACCTAACGAATGGCGTCTGGGACGAATTCTACAGCTCCACCCAGGTTCCGATAACCGTGACAAATAAGTCCTACTTCCGGCAAACAATGAAAGCGAAAACAACGCCTAATAAAAACACATCAACTGTCGCTCTTGACAATGTACCACTACAACCACAACTACAAGAACGATAAAAAAAGTGAAATTCTCTTTCGTAAAAAGGAGTTTGCCAAATCATCACTAGCATTTTCAATAAATGAAAAACTTAAGTTCAGTTTTGCCGAAGCAAGACAGCAGGTAGAAGCTTTCACAACCGACGGCTGCGCAGCTTCAAATGCTGTCATGTAAATATTTGAAGAAGCAGCCATTCCAGAAGCTTCTTGTTCATATAAATCTATATTCATAAATATATATAAACTAGTAGACCCGGTCCCGCGTTATTGTGGCTTACTGTATTTTGTCCTTTTTAGATTTTATAATTGGCATTTTAAAGAGTTGTTAGGAAAAGAATAACGAAGAGCCCTAATTAAATTTCAACTAAAGCAAAATATTCATCTAGGATCCCATTTTCGGAAATTAATTCAAGAAAAAAGCGATCAACTTAACTTTCAAGCAAATGGGAACTGGTCTATTTGAGGGAAGTAAAAGTGGAATATACCTTTTTATAAACATGGAGATACCTTCGTCAAATTTTCGGCATCGTCCTTGTAGACAATCTCTATCCCAAGTGTGCACACTTCCTTTTAAAACAAACGAATATACTCCAATACATACGAGTATATGAATAGTAATGAAGGTGCACATATTTATACTAAACAAAAGTAAGAAAGTTACTTACGCTGAACACTTTTAATTGGTCTAAGAATGACTGGCTTTTCCACTGATTTCAAATTATGTTCTTCCATCATGCGAGACGACGATCGTGTAGCAATTCTCGATCCATAATGATCTTCAGTACGACTCTCAGCACGGCTCGAAGAAAATATTGACCGGTTGTCCTCCTGCTTCCATCTTTCATTCCTGGAACTTGCTGAACTTCTCAAAGTGTCACCGTAATTGTCACATGAAGATCCTCTATCATAATCTCGTGTCGTCGAGCTCACGTTCAAAGAGCAAAAAGATACGATAGATATACAATAATATTAAGATTTTATATCATATTTGTAAATATATATATATTTATATAAAACTAAATATGTATGTATACAGAGCTGACATGAAACTTTTGACTTAAAAATATTTTCTTTTTCTGTTGGTTGCAGGAAATTTGCCTTGTGTTTTTCAAGCGGACATATTAAAAATATAAGACTAATTAAATATTAATTCGTTGCTTTCTGTTAAAAGTATGTAATGAAGAAAGCAAGTATCTGTATTAAAGGATATATTCCGTTTTTTATTTTCGAATCATTGTTTGCATACACATAATATTGTTGCGAAAATGCGAGGCGAATGTCAGATGAAAGAGAGAAGCCGATAACTAGTACGTTCTAGAAACGATAAAACAAGAACCTTCCATAGCGAACAATTCGATGCTTCTACGCTTTCGTCTGCGAGCAGCCGACTGCTATATAAGGGCGACACTCAGCTCAGCAAGTCAAGTTAGTGATAAAGTAAACTCGTTGGCGTTAACATCAGTAAAGTCGTAAAGTAAACGTGTTGGGATTACATTTAAGTAGAGTAAATTGTGAAAGTTGATGATAGTGATTGTAAATAATTAAGTTTATGGTAATTGAATTGTGAATTACGGAGAAAATAAAGAACATTAGATTAATTCTTTATAACGAAAGAAAACTGCAAATTAAGTTGGCGAGTTTTTATTTAACAATCCAGAGATCGTACCCGAAGGATCTAGAAAATAATCGAGGTTGATTTAGTAAAATCGTAACAATATGGTCATGATAATATACTCGTATGTATATACATGTTCATATATAAGGAATGCGTAAAATATAATATATTGTATTACATATATCTCAATAAAATATTTCACAATAATTTGAAAACTAGCATAGAACTAACTACGGGAAAAGCTAGCGACTTTGGTTTGTGAAAACTGAGATACTAGTATGTACTCATTGTATATGCAAATATCAGTAGTAAACTGAACTTAAAAGTTTTTAAAAGTATTATTAAAAGATTCACTGAATAATATTATTATCTCGGCAAAAAGAGAATAGTATTCCACTGTAGTCAATATCCAAATTTTTTAATATTGATTCTAATATTTAAAACTCTCGATTCACTCTTAGTCTTTATTTTTTCGATATCATAATTTCTGGCGGTGATATACGTACCTCAATATATACATACATATATTCATTTTATATATACAAATATGAAAATGCATTTGATATTTGAGAGGAACTATACACATACATACAATACATGGGTTCGATTCCTGACCAGACAAACACACCAACAATTAAAATTTTTTCATAAAAATTAATCGGTAGTGCGGAAGCTACTTAAAATAAACTGTAGATCCCTCTAAATGTAGACGCACAACACAAATTGGTGGAGGAGGCCAGCAAATATGTAAGAGCTTCAATTATCCACACATTTACCTGACTTAAATTATCGAATATCTCATGTTTTATATACAGACAATATTTAAATATTTAAATATATGTATATATCAACTCAAGTTCATATTCTGTTAACCGAGGCTTTCTGTAATATGAAATAGGAATCACATATATATACTTTTTAGTCGAACTTCTTTTATATCAGAAAGGACCTAGAGTTTTTAGACGTACCGAATAAACAATTGCTTTTTATGAGAAATTCTAAACGAGAGAAACGATTTTGAATAAAATTCTCGAGGAAATACCTAGGCACATTCATTCCAACTGCACAACAAAATGAGACAGTTTCGTCAAAATATCTAAATTTTTCAACGGACAGTTCCTCTTGTCATTCCAGACATTTTGGCTTAGTTTATCAATTTGATATATTCAGGGACTGATTTTTGCATTTGTAGAGTTCTTGTCAGTCGAACTCCATCATTTCATTTTGTTCGTACATTTTACAGTTTGCCTAAGCTGCTTGCAATAAGTGCAGTCTATTTTTAGTAGAATATATATTTTCATATAGATCGACTTTTAACAACTGTGTAAATTCAAAGTTTTTTTTATTATAACCACAACCTTTTCTGCTGTCGACATCATTATGTATGACTAAATTATATCACTATCAATTATGCACCTACCCGGATTGAGCGATAATTTTTTCGCCCGCCGGCCGCCCAGGTGCTCTTGGTAGGAGAGCAAAACATTTTGTAACATCAAAAATCTTCGATATACCTTCTCAGGTAATGCGAGGCAGTAACCAAGCGCACCATCCAATGTGGTTGCGGTTGATGTTGACCACGTTGATGGCATTGCAAATGAAACCCAAATGAAATTTTACATATCGATATATAGTTTCTAAACAAAAATATAACATTTTTAACTTCCATAGATAAATATACCAAACATGTATCCAACCATTCTCTGTCAGATAAAAATTCAATAACTATCCTAAGCATGTTAAAGGAAAGGTTCGCCATTTTAGGAAAACCAACTAAAGTTATAGCAGATAACGAGTTTAACACTGCATACATTAAAAATTTTCTTACTTTGCAAAATATTGAATATCATTTCACATCTCCTTATACACACACAGGTAATTCTGACGCTCAATGAGCATATACGACTATTTAAACTAGATAAAAGCAACCAAGGTATTGACGACAAAACGTTAGTGTTTAAAGCTATAGAAATTTATAATAATACCACACATAGCATCACTGGATATAAACCCTTTGACTTATTACATAAGCAAATTGATAAATCAGACTGGCAAAAACTCAACGAACTATTACATAAAAAAGGAGAAAAATATAACAGATATTAATAAAAATAGAGAGGATTGTCAAGACTTTTGGAATCGGGAACTAATTAAAAATCTTGGTTTTAAGGAAAAAGAAAAACTTTGTTTTTTGGATTAAAATGGTTGTAAAAGAGACAGAAAGATAATTAAAAGAAAATATAAGTATCAAAAAGAAATTAGTGATGCAAAATTTGATAGAAAGATAACCGGAAGAAATTATTCTAAAACTTCTAAAAAATAAAAAAAACTGTTTATATCTATTTTTGTTTAAATAATTATATAATATTATTATTTTGGAGTATATAAATTAATTTAAGTATCTTGACTAAGTAACTACATATATGCACATATAATATTGAATTGTATTTTGTTTTGTAATAATATTAACTTCACATTTCAGGAGTAATGTACAATATTGTCAAACAGTGGGGGAGTTATGTAAATCCATGTAGTAATTTCAACCCCAAATTTACTATCTCTTTTATTTTTTACCACTCTAGTTTGTAAATTACACTTTCATCTAAATAATTCTATAATTCTGTCCATGTTTTCATCTTCTTCTCCTTCATTTTCATTACAGACAAACTAAGTAATATTTTTATGTCGGATTTTTTTTAATTTACTCATTTACCTTTTATTTTATAGTTTTTGAACTTGGTTTGGAATGAATTAATTCTATTAATGTTTTTCAACAATTTTTCAAACCAGCGGTTTTTTGCAAAATAAATTTGTCAACTTCGCCCTCGCAAGAAGAGCTACTAACCGAACAAGTGCACAGTTGACAACCAACTAATAAGGCGTAAGTTTAAACAACACGTGAGGCTCTACACTTGCGAAAGGTAAAAAAAAAATATTTAAAATAGCGGTACTTAGACGCTCATAAACACAATGTTGCATATACGCAACGTCGGGCATGAGAGGGTTAATGGCGCTTTGTAGCCGCTGAAGCGGTTTTCGGCCGAGCTCCTCCTCAAATTTGTGGTTCGGCGTCTTGATGTTTTTCCAACAAATGGAGGGATCTACAGTTTATATAATACTAAGCCGCTTTCGAACGGCTTATTGTTTTTTATGAGGAGTTTTAATTTCATGTCATAAATTTACTCCCTGCCGAGGGGCGACCGCAATTAGAAAGTTTAACTATTTTTTTTTATTTAAATTAAGTTTCTCTAAATTTTGAATGTTGTTCGCACCAGGAAGGTAGTACGTAATGCTTACCTACTGAGGCCGCGTATATATGTATGTAGGCTTATTTTATTAATATACAACTTGGTGTGCTGGTGTGCTAAAAAAAATGAAATGAAAATAATCGAAATACCACAAGAAAACGCACATGCCTGATACATGATAGATTTAATTAATAACAAATTAAAAACTTACATTTGGAAATATTAAGATTGCTGGAAAGAGTCGATCAAAATGTTAGACTATGTGCTTCTTAAAAAGGAAGGAATTGTTATTGTATTGACACGATCAATAATACTACAATAAACAATTATATTGTTATTCTCATGTTAAAACCAAAACTCTAATATCTTATGAGCATGCTGCATATTCATACAAATTCACCTACATGCATACAAATATATGCATATGCATACGAGTATATTGTATTATGTTACATTATAACTTTATTTATTGCTATTTGAACTCTGCTACTGCTAGTAAACGTGTAATAAGATATTTATTGTTTTATATTCGAAATATTGTAAAACAAAGCATATCACCAGTTGGCAAATCAGTTGAAGAATTGAATGGCGTGAAATTTTCATATTTTCCATATATTAATAATGTGTACGAGGTGGGTTCAAAAAAATCGCGAATTTCGATTTTTTTGTGGCGTTATGTTGGAACTCATGTCTGTCACTTATGCCGACAAGCTCGGCCATTTTGAATGTTCACTTAATTGTTGACAGCTGCTTTGCTTGCACGTGCTTTGGATGGTCTTCGATTTTTACCTATTCAAAAAAATGGATCAAAGAACCTGTATCAAATTTTGTGTGAAAAACGAAATTAAGTGCGCGGATGTATTCCGAATGTTGACTGTTGCATACGGAGAAGCTACCTTGGACCGAAGCAACGTTTATCGGTGGTATTAAATGTTATCAGAAGGCCGAGAAGATGTGAACAACGAAGAGCGTGCCGGACGCCCGAGCACTTCAACAACAGTCGAAAAAATTAATTGCAGGGGCGTGATGCATCATGAGTTCCTGCCACAGGGTAGAACGGTCAATAAGGAATATTACCTGCAAGTTATGCGCAATTTGCGCTAAGCAATCCGCCAGAAACGCCCGGATTTGTGGAAGAACAAAAATTGGCTTTTGCACCACGATAACGTCCCTGCTCACACATCGTTGCGTGTGCGCGACTTTTTGGCCAAAAACAACACACTAATTATGCCGCAGCCACCGTATTCCCCAGATCTGGCCCCCGGTGACTTTTCTTGTTCCCTAAACTGAAGAGGCGCATGAAAGGACGACGTTACGCTACGATTGACGAGATAAAGACGGCATCGAAGGAGGTGCTGAACAAGATAAAAAAAATGATTTTTTGAAGTGCTTCGAAGATTGGAAAAACCGTTGGCACGAGTGTATAATATCTCATGGGGATTACTTTGAAGGGGACAAAATAGATATTCATGAATAAAGAAATAATTTTTGAAAAAACACAAATTTCGCGATATTTTTTCAACGCACCTCGTATACGCACATGTCTTTCTAACATACTGAAAATAATGTAATAGTACATTTGCTGCTGGTCTCACTATAGAAACCGTCTTATAGGAACGAATGTGTTTATAAAGATAACATTTGAAATACTAAACACATAAATTATAACAATGTAATAAAGGATATCTTGAACGATATGGGCGGAAAGTAACTCCCATGTAGTACCATTGACGAAATATCTCCTGTCATCAAACAAACAGCCATCGCATTCGCAACTTGGCTCCCACGTCACTGTTGACAGTCATAACTTTGAAATCGTAGATAATTTCGTCTCACTAGGAGCCAGGATTAACACTAATAATAACGTCAGCCTTGAAATCTAACGCAGAATCACTCTTGCCAACAAGTGCTACTTTGCTCGCAAGTTCATTTACGTATTTTTGGATCTCATAGGCCGCGGAGCGAAACCTCTGGCATTATCTTCTAGGTTGTCTTTTCTTGGTTTTCAAGCTTGTAATATCTTTACCCTAAAGATCATTGAAAATTTGTCTCTTATAGGTGTATGACAACTCATGCGTTCAGATTTTTGCTCTTAATTGTATTGGGGTGTAAATGGGTCGTAGTCATACTTCTGGATATGCTGTTACAGTTGCGAGGCTATACTAAATTCTTACTCCTGCGTCTACGTCGAGCACCTTGGAAACGTGAACAACCATTGCGCAACGTTGTGCGCTAACCAAACTGTGTGGAGCCTTTGGTCACGGCTATTGTGAAAGGAAGGTTCAGTGGAGCCACTCCGACTTATTCGGTTTGAGGGTCCGCTAAAGTCTAATTACGGCGTCTGACGTGACAAGGGCGAAAGCGAGTAAGTTCTTGTGACATTTACTACAGCAGTCATATAAAGGAGCGCAAATTTGGTGTCGACTTTGTGGAGGGAGAGAGACTCCGTCGTCGAGCACCGGCATTCACCCCGGTGGATGAGCGTCTTGCCACAATTCACAGCAAAGCGAAATTTTTTAATATATCGTTAATTTGCGCCCACGCTCCGACCGAAGATAAGGACGATTTGGCCAAAGATGCCTTTTATGAGCGCCTAGAGCACACTTCAGCCTTCTCATGATGGGTTGAATCTGATCGTTTTCTCCGGGGACCGAAATATTGTTGTCTGTAGTGCTAGATTTCAGCACAAAAAAATACATCACGCTACTTGGCTGTCTCTGATCGAAAAACAGAAAACCAGATCGATCATGTGTTGATAAACGAACGTGCGTACACTCCGAGGACTTAACATCGACTCGGACCACTATCTTGTCGCAGTGAAGACACTCATGCGTTTCTGTGTGAAAAAAAACACAGGGAAAGCTCGACATTGAAAAGGCGCAATCACAACAGATTGCCGATCGATTTTCTACTCGACTTGCACTCGGGAGGGCATTGCAAACCCCCTACGTTCAACTGCAAACGAAACTATTGGATTTGCGATCGACCACAACACGTGCGAGATGGGATAGATGCCGAGATATGAAGAAGGAAGCAAGACGCATCTGCAGACAAAAAAAAATGGCCGAGATGCGTGAGTATGAGGAGCTTGAGAAGATGACCGACAAGGGTAATGCTGCAAAATTCTATTAAATGATACGACGACTTACGGAAGATCTTAAGAAGGTTGTGAGCGCAAAGTGGTGATCTAGCCACCCTTTGCCCAGAGTATATTGAATTTATGGAGAGAAAACTTCTGCAAAGTGCTGAATAGTAGTGAAAATGGAAAACGAAGGAAAAAATGTTCCATTACCTGACCATGAAGAAGTTCGACTAGCAATCGCCCGCTAAAAAACAACAAAGCGGCGGGAGCTGATGGCGTACCGGCAGAAATATTCAAACATGGCGGTGAAGAGCTGACAAGGTGCATGCATCAGCTACTTTGCAGACTATGGTCGGATGGAAGCATGGGCGACGATTTGAATTTAAGTGTGCAATACGTAAAAAAGGAGACACCACAGATTGCGGCAATTACCATGGGACAAGCCTCCTAAATATCGCATATAAGGTCCTGTCGAGCGAATTGTGTGAAAGACTGAAGCCCACTGTCAATAAACTGATTCGACATTATCAGTGCGGCTTCAGACCTGGCAAGTCAACCATTGACCAGATATTCACCATGCGCCAAATCTTGGAAAATACCCATGAAAAGAGGATCGACACACACCACGTCTTCGTCGATTTTAAAGCCGCCTTCGACAGCACGAATAGGAGCTGCCTTTACAATGCTATGTCTGAATTTGGTATCCCCGCAAAACCTAAACGGTTGTGTAAGCTGTAGCTAGGCAACACCAGAAGCGCAGTAAGAATTGGGAAAGACCTCTTCGAACCGTTATAGAAACGACGTTTCAGACAGAGTGACTCTTTGTCGTGTGATTTCTTCAATTTGATGCTCGAAAAAAATATGACCTGCAGAGCTGAATAGAGAAGGTACAATCTTCTATAAAAGTGTACAACTACTGGCGTACGCCGATGATATTGACATTATCGGAGTAAACAACCGCGCCGTCGTTTTCGTCCTGTCATATGGTGTGGAAGCATAAACGATGACAACATCTGAAGAGTCGGTGGTAAGAGTTTTCGAGACAAAGGTTTTGCGTAAGATTTATGGTTTTTTGTGCATTGGCAACGGCGAATACCGCAGACGATGAGACGAGTTATACGACGACATTGATATACAATAGTTCAGCGAATCAAGAAGCAGTGACTACCCTTTCGATGCAGTACCCGCCGGTGGAAGCAGAGGAAGACTTTCACACCTATGGAAAGTTGGAAAGACCAGGTGGAGAAGGACCAGGCTGTACTAGGAATTTCCAATTGGCGCCAAACAGCAAATAGAAGAAGAAAGGGACAACACGAATAGTTGTACGTTACACAATTAACTTTATTATTTAATTATTCTACTGGCAGCGTTTTCACGTCAGCCGTATACTTCTATATACTCCTATTAGTAGCGTTTGTATGACACACCATATACTCTATCTATGACAGCACAATCAGAAGTCTCCTATCACTGCTGATGCTGCTCCTTTTATACTAAATTTTGCTAGCAGGCGGACAGTTATGCACTGCGTTTGTTGGTAGGCCTATCGCCTGTTCTTCTTTGCCCTATTTAACAACGACGCTATGCTGCCTAGCTTAGATTTCATATGAATACAAATGTGTATATATATATTTAATTATTTGTTTACATATATAATTTTATACTTCCTAAATATAATTAATTATTTATATATGTAAATGCGCATATATTTTTATTATTGTTGTTGTGGAGGCTCCAAGGTCCCCCCCCCCTTCCCCTTTACTTTCCGTGAGGGCACGTGATGGTTATCGTGTCGGCTCCAGAAACTCTTACTCGGTACCAGACGCCTTTTGCTTGGTGTCGGATTGTCTGTCGTTTGCCGGGTTGCTGCTCCACTCTCCCCTGGATTTTTGCTATTAACTCGATTGATAGCGGCTTGGTGTTTGTAAAATTACGTCCGCCTGGTGGTGTTGTTTTTGGCTCTCCTCTTTGCTCCTCCTCGACGTTGTTGTACTCTTCGTAACGCGTGGTGTTCTCGATCACCTGTTGTTGTTGGGGTGGTCGTGTATTTGTGGTGCGGTCATTAAATATTCTCATGGTCATCGTGACGCGACGGGTGTATTCTGTGTACCCGTGACCCGACCGTTGACTGTTTATTTCTGTGATGTCGATTTCACCACTTCGTACTTCTTCTTCTTCGTCCGACGAAATGACTAGCAGCGTTGGAGCCCTCATCATGCCAAACGCCCCTTCGTCTGAGTCGCTGTCGGTTGCTGTTTCTTCGTTGTCAATAGTAAACTCTACCGTGCTTGTTTTGATCTCTGTGTCCTCTGTGCGTTAATTTCCGCCTCAGTTAGTCGGCGTAACCGTACTTTTAATGAGCCACAGGTGCTTGTTGCTTTAAATATTTTGTCGGTCGTTAGTCGCACTTAATTGTTTATTTCACTTCTGTGCTGTGTCCGTTTATAATAGGCTCGTTTCTCAGTGACTTTTAGTATGCCAAACTGTATTTTAATTATCTATTAATTTCAAGAAATTTAAAAAAAAAATTAACATTTCTGTGCAAAATTTGCACTTTTGATATGCATGTGCATATGCAAAAAGCACTGGTGTAAAACTTTTTTAAGCAAAACTATTTCAATTGACTTGGAATTTCATCAGATTGTTTCTATGATTCCAAGAAAGGTGTATAATAGAAAAAAATTTCGAGAAGTGGAAGTGAAGAAACTGATCTATTTAAAATAAGTATATTTATGGTTGAATTTACTTGCTTTTTTTTCTAAGTTACCATTTTGTGATGAAAATTTTCTTCTTTTTCTTTTTGTCTTTCGTATGTGGCAGTAAATTAACAACTAAATATGCTAAAACATTCTTTTTAGTTTACCTTTGCTAATTGATTAATCAAATAAATACAGCTAACTTTCATATTTTATTGTGATTTTAACTCTTTTGTTCCTACTAGTTGAATATTTCATTCAAGATGATTACTTCTCTTAAAATTATAATTTAAAAATCATTAAAATTAAATGTTTTTTGGGCATTTTTGTGCTATTTCGATTTTTGATTGAAGTATCTTCTTCTTTTTTTATTAGTATACCACTTTTTTTTTTTTTAAATTTAGCTTATATATACACATTTTTATCATTCAAATATTTAGTAATAATAAAAATAATATGAAAAGGAAAACAGTGAAACAAGCGTTGTAAATGATGATGACATACCTTGTACTAGCCGAGCAGCAGCTGCTTATAGTTTTGTTGATTATGATAGCGATGAGGAGCATTACTTGTTTGATAACGATTTTGATACAGTTGAGGAAGTAGAGTGTTCGACCTGCGATGTAGATAAAGTGGAAGAGCTAAAGGCCTGAACAATTAGAAATAATATATCGCGAAATGCTCTTACAGATCTCTTTCAAACTTTGAATAAAGTAGGTGTAAATGACTTGCCATTATCTGCAAAAACTCTCCTTGGAACAGTTAGGGATAGAGTAGAAGTTAAAGACATTCAAGGAGGAGAGTTTTTGGACGTCGTATTTCAAAGTATTTTCTTACAATACAGTGAAAGGGTAGATATTGGAAACGTTGGAATTGATGGTCTGCAATTAACAAAGTCGTCGAAAAATTGCGTGTGGCCAATTTTGGGTTCAATAGTCAATTATCCTAATGTCGGTCCGTCAGTTTATAATTGCTTGCTTCCAAGGAAAAAGCAAACCTAGTAGTCTAGAAGACTTTCTCAGGGATTTTTGTATAAAAGTAGGTCTGCGAATAGGTAGTAAGCAGGTAATAAAGCAGTTCAGTATTAGATGTATCATCTGCGACGCACCAGCTCGTGCTTTTTTGACAAGGGTTATTGCATACACAGAGAAAAGTGGTTGTCCGAAATGCATCTGCCTAAGTCAGTATACCCAGGAAAGAATTTAAAATAAATTCGTTCAATTATTTTCCAGATTATATGGCAAACATTTAATAAGTTTCAATGTGCACGGTTGGTTACATTTAGCTGAGTGCGTCATACGGTTTGCACATTAGACAGCTTTTCTGCATATAAATTTGAAAACTATATGCAAACTTTAAAGAAAATAGTAAAAAGGCCAGATAAAGTATTGCAGTAAATAAGGAATAGACATTTTGAAAAAAAAGACTATGTTGTAGATTCTAGTAAAATACCAAAATATATTGCATTCATATTAATTATACCAAGGAGAAACATAGTTTTTGTTTTTGTGATAAAACAGAGCCTGTTAAAATATTTGATAAACGAGTTGCAACCGATGTATTTGTAAGCCTTGTTTTATCGGTATATTTTAAGGAGCCAGATATTTCGTTAACAAGTTGATAGATAGTCTTAGGTAGATTGACAGAAAACGAAGCAACTGTAAGTGGGTCAGATGTTAAGTGTAAGTATTTTTCAATTCCTGTAGGAGATAATGATTTTTATTAGGATGAACCTCATGCAACTTTTTGAAGAAATTGTGGAGCCGGCTGTATAGACTAAATTAATTAATTTATTATTTTTAAACTGTTGTTTTTATTTTATCTTTTTTTAGAACAAATAATTCGAAGGCGACGATTTAGTATTTGTATTTCTCCACGAATTACGTCGACATCCGGCGTCCACGAAAAAAATCTCTACTTTGGAGGGCATTCTCACCACCTTAGAGAGTACACTGAAAGAAAAAGTAATTTTAGCGTTGTTATTGTGCGAACTTATAAGATGTTAAGTTACTGTTAATTGCAGTTTTTTCGCCTACCACTGCACAAGTCCGTATTTGTGTTCCCCCGTTGGAATCTTCTACTAACAACAGAATTAAAACAAACCCATTTGACATTAACTTATAGGTCCCATCTATAAATATGATTTCGGGATACGCTTGAACTGCAGCCCTCATCTCTGCTGTTGAAAAATATATTGCCTTTAATTCTCTATCAAAGCAATGAATTGATGTATCAGCACCTGTGTAAAAATTATTATATGTATAGTAAGAAAAGGTAAAAATCAATTAGACAGAACCTAATGTGTATATATGTATTTTATTTAAAATACCTTCGCTTTTTAAGAATTTTAAACACTCTTCCAAAGTGTCTTTAGCGGAGTCCCTATATTTAGCGCTAATATTATCGATATCTTTCCTTGTGTTTGTCTTTGTGTCTTTGAGTTTTCATAGATTTCGATCATGATTTTTCTTTTGCTTGACCCGAGGTCATTTACAAGTCGTGCTACCTTTCGACTTTCTTTCTCAGATAGTCTACGAACCTCTGGTAGAGTATCGGAGAAATTCTGAAAAATAATCATAAACGATTCAAAATTACTATCTACATATGCTTACTAATTACAGAAGATTTAAATGAAAACATAGGAACATATGTGAATAAAAACAACACCATTTGCTAAGAACAGGTACGGGAAAGGGATGATTGTTTACTTACTTCACCAGGTAAGGTTATTTATTTGACAATTTTTCTAATAAATAATAATTATTTATTAAAGATTAATTGGATAATTCAGAGACAGTAGCAGAGTAGAAAGAGCTAAAACCCAAGAAATGGGGTGAGATAATAACATAAGCATGTACATATGTATGTATGGCTAAATGTGCATGTCACATTGAAACTAGTTTTATGTGTGTGTATGCGTGAGCCAAAAGTGCAGCATCCATATCTACATGTATGGTAATCTGATTATTAACTGTCTATTAACTTTTCGTCCCAAACGGTGTTTCTTCGTCCTAAAAATATTAACAGCAACAACAAAAAGATCTAAGTCCAAAATTAATAACGACAAAAACGAGACCGAAGGTTTGTATGGTGTATGCAAATCGCAATTTGTATGAAAAGTCCTATTTTTGTTTAATTGTTTAACTCTTAATATTTTAAACTTATTTTTAGTTAGACAAAGTTAAAGTTTTATTGTATTAAGTGTTTACAAATGAACAAGTACAATTACTTTCGATGTGTATATAAATACATAAGTAAAATGAATTGAGATCACCAATTTCCACATTTAATATTTGAGAAAAGAATTATAGCTAATTATATCAAAAATGTAAATATGTAAATTGTTTTTTTTTTTTTATTTTTAATAAGCAAATACAAACTTTAAATTTGGGTAACCATCCAAACTAACCAAGACGAATTCAGATAAGAATGAATATAAGAACGAGACAACAGTAAAATTCAAAATCTAAAATTTGTGGCTTGTGTTACTTCCAAATTGTTCTCACAATCATTTTCAGTCATTTTACTTATCGGGGCGTAAGAGAAAAATGTATAAAATTTTAATTTATTAACTTTCGGTGTATATCTTTGCGTGGCCAGCGAAAAATGTCGACTGAAAACATGATAAACGTGAGTGTATTTAATATTTAAATAAGTGGTAAATACAACCAGTGCCAGTAGCTATTTCGTTCGTATTATAAGTTTTGCAGTTTAAAAACTACTTGTGTAACTTCCGTTAATGTTCTTCTATACATTTTTTAATATGTCAGTATATTATCGTATGTTTTTGCAGAAAACAAAAATCTTCAGAATGAATGCTTCATTTCGATCGTACGAAAAAGTGAGAAAGGCTGCAGAGTTGTTTGAAATGCATCACAATTGCAAACTATCCACTAGAGACAGCTCCAAAATTAAAGTAGAACAACTTAATATAAGGAACAATAAATTAATGTATAATTATATTTTATACACATGTGCTAGAAATGGTTCAAAAAGGTGTCGCGAAGTTGGAACCAGGGACATCAAAAAGAAAATAACTCTCCATCGAGAGTAAATACAGATATAATTACAAATAAATATATCATAAGTTTTTTTGCAGCATATGTACATAGAGATGAAAATGTCATAAATATTTTAGGTCGAAAAAAATTGGGTGCCCGGTAAAAATTAAACTGGAAAGAAAACTCGATAAAGAGAAACTAATTGAGATTTTACATGTCACGAAATTAACGATGAAGCACAATCACGAACCACACGATTTGTCTGAAGACGAGTTGTCAGATATGGAAGAAAATCAACATAATTCTAACAATATGACTGACTGTAAGCTTAGTGAATCATACGTGTAAATACAATCTTTAAAATATATAAATAATTACTTCTGTACAGCCAAATTGCTTGCTCTGCGAAAGGCCTTGCGAAAAATTGAAACCTTCGCACGACAAAAAACGATGATGAGGTAGAAAGAATAGAGAATATAGTCACAAAACTCCACGAACACTTAACAAATGATTTGGATGTAACTTTTTTGCAAAAAGTAAATGTGAGCTTAGAAGCTGGCAACTACTCAGTTCACTTTGAGCAACCGATAGACCAAGAAAATTCAATCAGCTTAATAGAAGATTTTTCCGGTAAAATTCACATGCATACATCAATATTCATGAAAACATTTATTAATTTTACTTATATTTTTACACACTGTTAAAACACCATGTCAAAAACGAGGACGAGGTCGCCCTAGAGGATCGAAAAAAGCTCAATTGTAGCACAATAAAATATAGATTCTTTCTTATTTTCAATAAATTACGGCTACTTCGAGTGGAAATTTCATATGTTCAAAATTATCCCTATATCTTTCTCTTTTCGTTAACCAAGGGAAGGGACAAGCCAAAAGAGGGCGATTCTGTTGTTTGCGGCAGCCGCAAAAAATCATCGCTCAAATTTTCTAATTTTTTTTGACCAAAGAAGCCACCCTACGCATTTCTCTTACACTTATTGTGTACTTATCCCGCACTTCTCGTACTTTTTGTGCACACCTCGTACACTGTTCGCATCACGTACACTTAGAGTACACATATTGTGCACTTAGTGTCCGAATAGCCACTCCCTTTGTAAAATATTTAAATTTTTATTATTTAAAATATTTATAATTATTAAATTAATTTTTTTAGTTATTGTCCTATGTACATTAATCTATTGAATTTTATATTGTATATGTATAGGCGTATATAAAAATATAATAGGAGAAAAGGTATGCATACAAACGTATACTCTTAGGAGTCGCAGTTAGAATTATCCAGAGTTACATATGTATACTTTTAGGGGCCAACTATGATTTCCTTATGAATACATAGGTATATAAATGCACACCATAAAATTAAGAAAACGGTTTATTATAATAATTATTATTATATAATATTGTAGCTATCTCCCTGCGTGCAGAAAGGTATAAAATGAGCGGGTAAAGTTTTTCTTTAGAGCCACAGGCTTTCGCAAATAAATTTTATATGTATGGAAAGAGGAAAAATCCTAGATTCTAAAACTAATTTTCTTTTCTTTAGCTGACTTATAGTTTTTTAATAATTCTATTTTAAAGTTTAAGTAATAAATGCAAAATTACATACGTCTACATTGGAGTTGCCGGACTACTAAGTAAAATAATACTTAAGTACAGAGCTTGTGTGTTTGTATTTTGGCTAGGCAGGCGTAGCCACTCAGTAAAAAGGTTTATAAATTAAGGATAAATATGCAGGAAAATATAATAAAAAAATTGTTTAAAAAATAAAATGTTATTCACTTAAAAATTTTAAGATAAGTAAAACTCCTTTATAAATTGGCGGCCTTCGGGCGCGTTTTGGATTGTAACCCTGGGCCGGACCAACACCGGCTTCGCCCTGCACAGTATTCTTAAGTGAAACTCCTTTGTAAATTGGCGGACTTCGGCCGCGCTCTGGATTATAACCCTGGGCCGCCCCAACACCGGCTTCGCTTTGCATAGTATTCCTAATTGAAACTCTTCTATGAAAAATATTTGAGAAAAGCCTTAAGTAAAAATAAAACAAAAAATAAAAAAATAAAAATAAACAATAAAACAAATTGTAATTACGGCTTATAGGTGTATTTTATTGCCTTAATAAGTTGTAAAAATGGATCTATATGGCGCCTACTTATATTTCTACGCCACAAATATTCAACCCCAATCTCAGCAAAATTGGCGGGGTTATTGTAGTTATTCTTAACAAAGTACCTTTTAATTACACGCCACTGCGACTCAATTCTTTGAGTGTGTGTCCCATCCGGCGCTACAAACGGATTCTCCGGATCGCTGTGGTTAACTTTCCGGTGCACATACCCGTAATCCTTCAAGCAGTCGTAGGCTTTCCAACAATCTGTATGGATTGTTGTTCCCTCTACAACATGCTTGCGGATTAGAGGGATGAGCACCTCTGCAGACCGAGCGTTATCCGGACACACTTCAAGACGTATGTCCTCACTACCATCTTCCACCATGCCAAGGACCCAATGACCGTCAACCCTCCTTCCTCCTCCCTGTAAAGTAATAAATGCATAATTAATATGTAATTCTAAAAACATAAAAATTTTAATTTACCTTTATTAAATTTTCTTTTTCCAAATTTCGATTCGTCGATTTGGACGACATTCCCCGGACCACCAATTTTACCAACAAAATGCTGCAAATCAATTTCATATAAAACTACCGCCTCCCTACAGTAGTTATACCAATCTGTTATAGTCACACTTGACAATGTGGTTCCTTTATAGGGGTTTTCAAGCCTTACGGCTGCTTGCGACCAATGGTGGGCAAATCCATATATTATATGAAAGATTAGCCTTTTTCCGGCAACTGCCTTTGCTGCACCTAAATGAGCCCACTGTTTCGTTGCCGGCATCACTCACCGACATGTAACTTTTGTGAACTGGACACAATTTAGATTTTAATATAAGTCCCATATCTTCGGAAAACTTAACACATTGTTCCCTTGTACCCAGCTCTAAATATACGCGTACGTGATTCCACATTGTCGCTATCTCTGCTGCAGTCAGCACATTAGTAGCACGCACTCCACTGCTGGTAGAAGGAATTTCTAAATACATGTATTTTATTAACGTATATATACATAATATGATCGTTATAATTTTTACTAACCGGTTTCAACTGAATTCATTTTGAAAAAATAAATTTTTATCTCTTAGTTAATCATTTTAAAAAAAGACTTTCACTTACCGCGAATGGAAATAGCGAATAAAAAAATCACAGCATTGAAATAATTGGAATAAAACTAGCGGTAAATTTTCATTTTGTTTTGTTTTTATATTTTGTTGTTGAATATTGTTTAATTTGTATAATATTTTACATGGTACGGCACCTTTATCCATATTTATTGCTGAATATTGTTGAATTTACAGAATATTTGACCATGTACGGCAACACCTTCCATATTAGTATGCAGCCATGTTTAAGTGAACATTTGTTATGATCATAATATAATTTGTTAATCTTTATTTAAGTTACTTTGCGCGTTAATATATACAAAATAAGTGAAACTATTTAATAAAATAAAAGTAATATTTGTGTTTGTTAAACAAAAATGAAAGAATAGTGACCATTTCATAAAGAAATAGTGGGATAAAGTTAACGATTTATAACAACAAATAACTTATAAACTATAATATATTCAAATTCCAAAAGTTAAAATATTGGAAAAATATATTTCTCTCATCATTCCTACGAAGTTTCATGACGAAATTCCTGGTTGTTTGCTTACAATAACAAGTGGGGCTGCATATCAAAGCTCATCCAAAGAGCGATCGTAGTCTGAAAATTTAATTAGCGAGTAGATGGTCGATAGGTTACTTGTCCGTGAATATCGCCGACAAAAGTAGTACACCTGAGGGTTCCCACTTCACGAGTACCTAGTTTATGTTCAACGGGATTTTCACCTAGTTGAAAGAAACTTAGTGAAGACTCCGCACCTTTTACGACGACAATAGAGTATATTCGGAAGAGGGATTCCACCTCACCAAACGGAAGGCCAGCGGAGGGTGACCCACCTCCGCGATCGTTATCAATAAAGTAGAAGATGGAATCTATTGTAATTATTATAATTAAGGTGAACTATGACTTTGACTATAATTTGTTTTTTCAGCCATGCTAGATATTAATTTTTATTAAGTAACCTACGATGCCTTGTTGTTTGTATGAATTGAATAATTGTTATACAAACAAAGAGAAAATGGTAGAAGTGACAGCTGTTTCGGAGATCACCACATCTCCTCATGAGACTTCTTATGGCTGGGATCGAACCAACGGATCCTGACTTAACAGGCGAGTGTCCTACCACTGCGCCAACTTCAGCCATATAATCTGTTGTTGTATTATTGACTGTTGTTTTGCTGTGAACCCTACAATAGTGCCAGCAAATTAAGCAGCAGCAGGGCATGATCGTTTTGCTGTTGCTCTTGCTTTCGGTGGATAAAATCAAAATGATAGCAATTTGATAGTACCGTCACGGTTAGCTATTCAACAATGGCTTTTCGTAAAAATAAGAATAACGCTGTTTGGCATTTTTTTTTCAAAACCAAAACGAAATTGAAAAAGGGAACAGTAATTTTTGCAAATTACCTTTAAAAACAATAGACTACAAATTTAAAAGGCCATTTGTTAAGTTATGCAATATAGATCTAAATAACGATAAAAATGTCTTTGGAATCACCCCAAAATTCATACAGCAAGATGAAATTAAAGCTCTAATTTTTGGCATGGTAGAGCTAAAAGGTGTAGGCGCAAGTTCCTCAAACAATCTTACCACTGAAATTCTAAAAAACTTTACAAAAATACGAGGTTGAATTTAATCAGATAGTGTGGTTGAGTTCCAAAACGTTAAAATACTTTGTAGTGATGCCATTTCGCAACCGTATCATGGCAATGAAACCCTACGTTCTATAAATTCTTTGCAGACTCTAACATTTTGGTACGTTTTCATGGAAATAAGTTGCATTTCGGTAAAATGGCTAAAATATATAACAGACCAAGAAATAAGTAATCTAATGTTTAATAAAAAGAATTAGAGCCAAAAAGATCCTTCCCGACGTCGGCCGTTGTTGTTAAGAATTATAATGATAATACAATAATATGATGCTTTATCATAAACCTTAGCGATGCGTATCAATAACCTTCACTTTTGATAACGTCGCTAATATGATAACATGATAATAATGACGGAATTTTTATCAAGTTACAATATGTGTGACGAGCAGAAACAATTTGCAGATCTAAGCAATACTTATTTGGATAACATTAATGATTTAGAAAATCCCTCGAGTCTTCGTATCGGCCATATTGAAATTTGTAGATATGCGGCCCACACTGGTCAACTTTTCGTTTTAAATATAACCAAAGACCAAAAAATAAAAGGATTTGTGTTGAGTTACAGTAATTTGACAAATTTATCCGCAAATCATCAAATGGATTTATGGAAAATTTTGAAATATACCAGGTACCAACCTATAAGATGATTCAAACATTGTTGGCTGCAAGGGATGTCCTGATCGCAGTAGAATCTATTGGAAGCAAAAGCATTGGGGAAAATTTCGACAATAATTGTTTACCATGGAATGCTATGCATTGCTCCTTTACAAGAAGCTATTGTAAAGTTCCAATCAGAGAACTTAACTTATGGGGATTTTTTTTTACGCGCATTGGCTGAAATGATATAGTGGTAAAATTGTAAAGAAAGCTTTGGAAAACACTGTAAAGCGAACTCCAAAATTACTTGAAAATAAAAGCCTTAATGTGTTCTTATTTTTGGATCCAAGATTTTATCATACCCTAAGTAGTCATAAGAAACAGGAAGCAGTTATTTATTTGAAATGTATTTGGAAAAATCTACGGTTTATTTTCACTAAATCAGAATTAAATTCTTCTGCGCCGAAAATCAGTATTTTCCAGGATGAAGTGGAAAATATGTTGAAATCATATTTGACTGAAACGCTTCAAGCAGCTTCCAGTAAGGTCGCATCTTCCATTTTTACGTAGTGACACAGACGTATTGAAATTTCGGAAAGAAAGAAAGGATTCCGAACCCTCCAACACAGGTTGGCTATTCCTATTGATCTACAATAATTCATGCCAGTTTTCATTCTTCATTTATTCATGTACGTATGCTTGTTTGTATATTTTTAGAGTTTACTGTGTAAAAAGCATTTTCATCACTAAAACTGGTCTTAACGGACAACCACAAAAGGAAGAATAATGAAACACTGGTAGATATCCTTCTGGTGAAACTAAATGCAAAGTTCTTGACGGAAGCCGTTAGCAATTTTCCGCTGTTAGTAGATCACCAAGTTTAGCAGAAAATACAATAAGACACTAAGAACACAAGCTTCTCCAGAACATTTTTATTTTTTAATATGCGTTATGTAGCCGAGTACAACTCTGTTTTGTATGCCTACTGTCATTTTGCTTTTATAAACAACATTGAGATCAGTAGCGCAACAACTGATCATAGGCTGCTGTTGCTGGCTTTGCTGACATTGTTGTAGGATTCAAAGCCACAGTCGCTTTTGCAGTAAAGCTGTTCGCTTTCATTTTGAAAAGAAAATCTCTCAGTGGAAGCTGGGCCAAAAGTATTATAAAGCAACAGGGGTTTTTTTTTTAATACTGTTACGATTTTACTAAATCAACTCCGATTATTTTCTAATTCCTTCGGGTACGATCTCTGGATTGCTAAATAAAAACTCGCCAATTTAATTTGCAGTTTCTTTCGTTATAAAGAATTAATCTAATGTCCTTTATTTACTCGGTAATTGACAATTCACTTACAATACACTTTACTATCATTGTCGCGTACTGGCCGCAACAAAAACTTCTTTTATGTGTGTCTGTTAATTTCCTTTGTTTTGCC